CTGTGGCCAAAGTGCGTTAGCATCTCACGATCACACTGGAAAGAAGAAGCCCAGGGATGGGGACCGAGATTGGTCGCCCAAGCATTCACCACCATCACACAATGCTCCAAAGGCTCCAAAGGTTAGATCTCCTCCTCTGTTTGAAGATGAATCTCCTCCGCCACCCCATCATGCTCCAAAGGCTCCGAAGGCTCCAAAGGTTAGATCTCCTCCTCCGTTTGAAGATGAACCTCCTCTGCCACCCCATCATGCTCCAAAGCCTCCGAAAGCTCCAAAGGCTCCGAAGGCTCCAAAGGTTAAATCTCCTCCGCCAGCCAAGGCTCCTCCTCCCCCTTCTGTCACGCTACCACGGTCGCCGCCACCACCCAGGAGCTCGTCACCGCTCACTGGCAAAGAGTTTGACGTCAAGAGCTATGGAGCTGTCGGCGATGGAAAGCACGATGATGCCCAGGTATGTGATCAATCTTACGATGTTTTGATTTATAATTTCCGATTTGCAGGCCTTCCTAGACGCTTACAATGCAGCATGCCAAGCCGGCGACAATGCCGTTATCTTGGTTCCATCGACGTCGGCGGGCTACTACCTCAGCCCAATCTCGTTTGGAGAGTGTACCAGCGTCACAATGAAGGTTAATCACATATCACATGATGTTTCATATCCTAAAATGTATATCAATATTTCAGGTGGATGGAACTCTGCATGCCATCCCAAGGAGTGCGTGGCTGTCCAAGTTTTCCTCCGAGAAAAGCTGGCTCCTGTTCACTAAGGTGACGGACTTCACACTGACTGGCGGAACTTTCAACGGCAACGGCCAAGATTGGTGGGCTCATTCCTGTAAGAAAGACAAAAGCCAGGTAAGATTTCTTAGATTCCCAAAAAAAATAAGAGATTGACTTGTAAATTGTGAATTTTTGCACCAGCGCTGCACAGATGCTCCCACGGTAAAGTTTAGATTATATGCATGATTGCGTGATTGATTGATTTACTGTAGGCTGTGAGGTTTGAGGACAGCAAGAACATCAAGGTGGAAGGCATCACCATAACCAACAGTCCCCAAATCCACATTACGTTTTCGGACTCTCAGGCCATCCAGGCAACAAACGTGGTGATAAATTCTCCAGAAAGCAGCCCAAACACCGATGGTATTCACGTTTCAGGGAGCACTAATGTTGTAGTTAGAGACGGAGACATCTCTGCCGGTAACTTTCCTATATCAGATTCTGATATCAGTGTTTTAACTATCTTTTCTTTGCACACATATCTGAAGGTGACGACTGCGTGTCGATTGTTTCTGGGAGCTCCAACATCCAGGTTTTGGGCGGGCGATGCGGCCCTGGTCACGGCATCAGCATCGGAAGCCTTGGCAAGGGCGGGTCTTACGCCACCGTTTCCAACGTTCAAGTCTCAGGTGTCAAGATCGACGCGGCCACAAATGGCGTACGGATCAAGACATGGCAGGTAAAAGTTGGTAAAACCATCGAAACACTTTGACGAAACTGCATGAATGTAGGGTGGCAAAGGTTACGTGAGCAATGTGATATTTGAAAATATCAGCATGGACAACGTGAAGAACCCGATCATTATCGATCAAAACTACTGCGATGGCGGCTGTGGCAAGAAGCGGGTGAGATATCAAATATTCGACACACCCCGTCTCTTCTCACTTGCTAACGTTTGTATGATTTTGTGAAACCAGGGGTCGTCTCTAACAATCCAGGGAGTTACGTACTCGAATATCGTGGGCACTTCGGCATCTCCGGACGGCATCAACTTGCACTGCAGCTCAAGCGGCGCATGCACGAACATCCACTTCAGCAATGTCAAGCTGACCCTGGGCAGCTCTGGAAAGGCGGCTGGAGCGG